AGATTAATGACACCAAAGATCGCCCGTTAGATATACACAAGACGAATTATATATCATGTTTAACCACTAGACATCAGAGCCAGCGGCAAATGACAGAAGCTTTACAGTGGAAGTTCGATCATAGATTCGAGTTCGATGCATGATGTCTGTGGGTTTGATGCGGCTGTATCGGCATAAATAAATCTGTTTGGCTTACGGGTAACCAATGATTTTAAACTTCAGAGAAGCGTCCCCTAGTGTGAGAGAAAACACTTCTCTATTATGCCATTCCAGACTCTGTCTACGAAGCAAAGTGAAGTAGCAGAGTCTGGTATTACCAGGCTAAATGAGACATGCCAAATTGTGTGAACATATTTTTTGGCCAGGCTGTCATACAAAGAAGATGAACACATACAAAAACAAGAGAGAACAATCTAAATATTAATAACTGATTATGTTGTCTTAAAATAGTGTTCTGTTCTTCTATGAAATGTAAAATATTTAAAAATATAAGGAAAATATTTTATGTTTTAATTTAACTTGTAGAGTTCATTAAAACCAATATATCCTGTCTGGACATCACTTTTGGTCACAACTGTATAAGGTGGACATATGACCCTTTTCTATGACCCCTTTCTTTAAACTCGTACAGCTCACAAATATCTACCAAAAATCAAATACATAATTTAGCTCTGGTGGCTGATTTGCCAACTTTTTGCTCTGAATACATGGAATCAGGCCAAATTGGATCTCATGAATCAAATCCATCTGGTGTTGTAATGACAAATTCCACTCCACTCATGCTGCAACTGCAAGTTTTCAGATATTTGTCTGTGCACATAGTGTTGGGTTTACAGCTACCCAGAAAAAAAACAAAAAACAGAACAAGGTCTGTTTTTAAAAACACAAAGGGGTCTTCTTTACCTTAGTCTGAGCGTCACAGTCCTCCAGAGGAGCAAATGGTCTCTTTATGGCTGGTTTAATGCGGCCAGGACCACCAGGGCTTTTTATGCAAGTGGGGACAGCTAAATAGAGGTTAAAAACAGGTTATTCAGTAGCATGTGTCCAGCATTTTTGTCTACATTAAAAGTACTAATGTAATGAAAACACAACTCAAGTTCATCCACCTAGACATAAAATCCGTGCAGCATGAGTTATTTGCGAAAACAGCAAAGCTGGTTTGTTTGCACCACCAAATGTTTAGTGTGGCGTAACAAATTCCAACCACGCATGGCGTGTTTGGAATTTCTAAACGATCAGAAAATTTGTATTCAGTACAATCAGGGTAAGGGAAGTTTTTGTACAACAGACACAGTAGGTGAAGAATGCTAAATTTTATCAGCCCATTTTTTTCCAGCATAAAAATTTGGGCCTTTTAAATGGCCCAAAAACAGAGAAAAAAATAATAATATTTCTTTCTGTTTTTCATTGTCCAAGTGGGCTTGGATCTCTTTTTTGTGCACTTTGAAACCCTCTATGTTTGAAACTTATAAGGTCCCCTTTCCATGTATACTGTTTAATGCAATCTGAGACTGCTTAAATTAAGCAAGCGTGACATACCTCAGATGGTCACTTAAAATTTCAGTCACACTGTCTGTGACATCACATCCAATTTTTGTCATACAGAAAACGCTGCAGATATTTGGTATCTATCTACAGAGGGTTTGATTGTGTTGAAATTTGTCTCTCTTAAATAAATATCAATTTAACTGCATAGATTGGGCAAACTTGTAGCAAACTTTTCAAATTCATGAATCCCTTGACACTACAGAGGATAAGCGGTTTGGAGAATGGAAGGATTTAGGTAAAATGGACATTATAACTGAAACATGCCCTAGTTTACTATTTACACTAAATCATGCTGATTGGCTCATAAGTCACTTGTATTTGAATGAAACTACACACTGGATGTGCTGAAAGTATGATTCAGTAAAAATAATCAATAATACAATAAAGTAATTTGTTGTCCCATATTTTTAGGGGCTTTTTAGGAAATAGCTACCAGTGTGTTTCCCTAAGAACTAAATGTCCCCCTAGGTCCATTTTGCTGGTTGCATTCACAACGCCAGTAGGAACTCTAAGGAACTGGAACTGTATACGAGTCTTTGAGTCTGGGTTTATTTTTTCAGTTTGTTTACTTTTTTTTACAAAGTTTTTTTTTTAGGTAATGTAATCTTGTTAAAATGGATTTCATGTTCTGGCGGGAAAGTGACGTCAATGCATACCCTCTATATTGTTATATAGATAACAGTCTACTAACCTCATCCCTGAACCTAACTACTTCAACAATATAAATTGCCTGTTACTTGTATATTGTTGAGAAGTGGTTAGGTTTATGGGTGGAGTGATTTTTTCCCCCCAAATCAATTCTGCGGTTCATCGCATTTCAGCCGATTCTACGGATTTAATTGGTCATGTCAATCACTGTACTCACTGCCTACACCAGACACTGATCCCTAAACTTACCCATCACTGTAACCTTAACCAATGCAATTAGCAGCAGGGCGGGATTTCTGCTGAACTGGTTTGGGAGAAAAAATAAATCACGCTTGGGGGTGAGACTAGCATACCTTTATCTACATAAGAGTATAATGTACACAGGGCTTGACATTAATTTTTTTTAGTTACTAGCCACTCAGCAATTTTTACTGGCCACAATTTTGACATCGATACCATGGGGCATCATATAGATGGCAGAAGGTATATTTAAGACCTGACAAACGGATCAATTATACTATTACACATGCATTTTCTTCCCCAACCTTTTATGTTCACTTAAAACATAACTGACTTACATGAATACACACCAAGACCGGGATTTTGACATTATTTTGTGTGTATTTGACTGTAAAATAGAACTCAATTTAGTACTAAATGCAGCTTTATGTGTGTGCACTTTGGGTGTGAGGTTTGTGTGTCAACTCACTGTTGAATAGATTAGAGAACGAGAAAGCACAGCTGGTATCTATTCGACATGTATCAAAAAATACAAAGACAATCAAATATTTTTTTGACAAAACTATATTGCATTAAGTTTATTATTTCAGACTCAGAGGCCTTTTTTTAAAGGACTACAATTGAATTGCCAAAATGCCTAGTCAGAGTGACTGCGTTACATGCCAGACATGTGCTTGTCTCTCCGGGCGCATGCTTGTGGGTGTAAAAAAAAAAAAAAAATTGGTATAAGTCAGCATATCTATATATGGTGTTAAATACTCACTGTGAGATTTGTTGGTGAAGTAGTTATAATACTGAGATACATAAGTGATGATGCTTAATCTGTCAGGCACTCCCATGGACACCATGTCTTCCGGATCCAGCAGAGCTGGAATACCCAACTCACTCTCAGCAACCTCAAATGCCTTTGAAAAAAAAAAGAGAGAGGTTGCATAATGCTTAACAACCCGTATCTACGCTTACATTTAAAATGTTTTTATAAACAATTTATTTAAAAAACACTTTGACATCTGTATTAAAAAATGGGTTGTAGTATGACTTTAGTCTGTGTACACAAATTTTGCATTACTGTTTATGCAGTCACAGTGGACTAAAAAGATGATTTATGACAAAAAAAGTCATATGACTGACACAAATATAGGTGCTTTGCTGCAACCACTTCCTCTTTCTAGAGCCGTTATGAAAAACTAAAACACAATATAAGAATTGTCAACAGCTAGCGGTTATTTCTGCATAATTATTTATATCAACAGCATAAGTCATAATTATTATAGCCTCCTCCACTCGTTTTTTGTCAGCTGTTTGTGTAAAACTCACCAGACGATTGTTCTCAAAGACATTTTCTTTTGAGAGGGAGTCAAAATCTCTAGTGGACAACAAGAACAAAAAAATGTTTAGCAAGTGCAAAGTCATGAATCACAAACATCCCAATGAGTATTTAAAAAATACAGGAATAGATGATAATTGGCTTTTTTTTGTGTATGTGACTTTTATGTTAATGATGTTAATGTTCTTGTCTAAAAGCTAATTTTGCATATGAAAGCTGGTTTTTTTGTAAGCGTTTAGAATAACTCTAGAATACAAATAAAACAAAATTTTAATTAAAATGGGGTAACTAACATAATTTACTTGAGATGTGTAAAAGTAATCTCTCTTTTAAAGTCTGTATGGCTGGGACACAAATCATGACACTTTAAATAATACCTAGTAATAACATTTTCCATTCCTCAATTTTTGTTTTTTTATTGAATATTTTTTTTATCTATCTGCTGGCATGTCTTGGAGGTGAAAAAAAAAACATTTAACAATAGTAATTCAATTATGTTAAGCTGTTTATTATACATTTTAAATTAGCACAAAGGTTTTTTTTACGAATAAACCTGCGTGTTCTCATCATACTAAGTAATCATACCGCACTAGATGACTTGGATTAAATCGCTAGTATTTTAATTAACTGTTTTAATATTACTTAATTTTACACAACAAATGTTGCACTCCAATGAATTTCATTGGATGTACAAAAACAACTAACACATTGTTCATATTATTTGAATGTAGTTCATATAGCTGCTATTCCTATTGTGAACCAGACAGCTTGTCACTTCCTGTTTATTTCAAGTCACACCTAACAATAGCACAATACAAGCCAAATCTCCAAATAGCATGCAAGGAAACAACGTTTCCATCTGTTAAAGATCCCCTGACTTATTTAAGATGATGACATTTCAGGAGGTACGTAATGTCATATTCAGAGAAGTGGAAAATACAAACAAATGAAAAAATTAAGTGTCAAAGATGCTCACATGAGATCAGGTCTGTTTCTATGGATAATGGCACAAAAGGCCAGTCCATCTCTGAAGGATGAAGACATGTTTGTAATATTCACATTATTGTAACTTTCACACTGGTTCCTGCACCAGTCCTGCAAAGCTTTTAGAGAGCCCATGGTCGAGATTCAATCCCAAATCCACACGTATTGCCTGATCCGGATCTTGAAATACAAATGAAGACCTAAGAGTTCTTGAGAAATCCCTTTCCACATGTCTCTATTCGTTGCAGTTAGATCCCACTGTCTGAAATCTCTCCGATTCCATTCGGTCAAAGTAAGCAGTATGGACAACGATCAGTAAGCTTTGACCGGACTGTCTTTAATCCAAAAAAATCAACACACGAATGGAGTCAAACTCCAACAACTTGAGTTACAGACTTGACTGTCCGTCTTTCAAAATGAGAGAGCAATGACACTTCGGCGTTCAATTAAAAAAAGAGAAGATACAAAGTCAGAAAGCAGGATAAAGTAGGCCCAACCCTTAACAGTTAAATACTCCGTAACGTGTACTGACGAATTTTTGGTGTACAGAGAGTACAGACAGAGGCGTTTAGACTCGTATGCCAAGATATTCATTGTCAAAATAAAAGTCACGACAGATTTGGTACAAATTGCAAAATAAAAAAACTTACCAAACGATTTTATTTACTTGTCTTGTCTGGCTTGATGGGTCTTTGAATCATATATTCGTATGTACACAGCAGAAATTATAATATAATATAATATAATATAATATAATATAATATAATATAATATAATATAATATAATATAATATAATATAATATATATAATATAATATAATATAATATAATAATATAATATAATATAATATAATAAAATTAAAATTATAATCTATAAAATTATAATCTATCAAAAACGAATTCAGATTTTTTTAACGTGTTTAAAACAGTGATGGTAAACAAATAGTTAAATAAGCAAAAATATTTTAATTATTAATTATTTAATTATTATATAAGGAAAATGCGATTTTACAAAAAAAAATGAATAATGAATTATATTATTATTACTATTCATTTTTTGTAAAATCGCATTTTCACTTAATTAATAATTAAGGTATTTTTGCTTATTTCACTATTTATTTACAATTACAGTTTTAAACACGTTAAAAAAATATTGAATTTGACAGACCTAGTCAGTAGTCATAAAAAATGTGGTAATAAAAATAGATTCAAGTGAACAACAGCATTTAAAATTACTTAAAATACTAATATAATAACAAGCAATCATAACTGGTTCAAATAAAGTATCGAAGTTAGCAATCATGGGTTTTATTGAACAACACTGTTAAAATACTCATATGTAAAAAAATATTAGCCTACTAACGTTACACTTTCCATTGCAGGCCTATGACTTGGGGCCTACACCATGATGGAGTTGAACAAACTCAGGGTTACGGGATTAGATTCAAGACAGTTGACTAAACAAATCCAATTTAATCAGGTTTTTATACCATGATGCAGCTCATCAATTTTCTCTGTCAACTCAGGCTTTAGGCTTGTTTAACATGAACAAAATCTGCGCAGAACCCATCACTGGTGATCACCGCAAGATGCATGCCGGTTAGAAATGTGTCAGAATGCGGTCCGCCTTGCTCTAATGTCATGCTGACGTATGTCCAAAAACTCTCGTGACCGCAAGGCCCATGTGTCGGATTCATAGAAACAGTGACCCTGTAGACAACCAGAGCCCGTCTGGCCCGCCCTGGCACTTCCTATTAGCCCCATTGTATCACCTTGGTTGTTGCTCCATAATCAACGCCGATTTTATTGTTGATTCTGCAAGTTCAACATAGATTATAGGCCAAAAGTCGAATGAAGCAAGAGTTGACGCCTTGTACGGTGTTGCTAATAAACTGGATGTAATTTAAGTTCTGTTGCTTTTATATGAAAATACTTATGTAATGAACAAGACATCCAAAGTACTTGTTATTTAATTACATTAATTTTTTCTTTAATACAGATGTGTTTTTATATAAAAAAATTACATCCCATAACACATATCACACTGTCAGAGACTTTATTCACACATAACATACTATACACATACAGTATATATATATATATATATATAAAGATTATGTGGCTATGACATCACTTCCAGTGTGTGGCACATCATATTTAAAAACCTTGCAGTGAAATAAGTGAAGTAAAATGAGTAAAATGACATAGCATTCTGAAGTAAATAATGTTAAGGTTATAAAAATGAAAAAACAAAACAAACAAAAAACTCTTGAATCATTTGTAATTGTTATATATTTTTATAGGATGTAATGGAGAATAAGATTTTTAAAAAAAATCACATTCATGTTAATCTTCTTGGGGGTTTTTTTTATGTGATTTTGACACTGTCCCAGTGTATTACTGGCAAACATGGACAGCCTTTCCAGTCATTATGGAAGAATTGAGTTCCCTTTTTATATGTCCCTCATAAATTAAGTTAATTAGCTAGATATTTCAACAAAGACTGACTTAAACTACTTATTGAGCTTGCTTGAGATGCTAATGGAGGCACAGTCCAGATCGCCCAAGCTGGCTTCAGGGGGACTGGGATGTACCCATTAAATCCCATGGCTCATACACATTGGGGTGTATAGCCAAGTCTGACCACCGAAAGGCCACTGGACCCTGAAGGAAGCTCACAGAAAGATGAAAATTTTGATTAGTTTTTAAAATGAAATGAAATGAAATGAAATTAAATTAAATTAACCCAATATGTTGTGGGCAGGCGAGGGAGGGGGTCGGTTGAATCTGCTGTACCTGCACCCCTTCTTAAAAAAAGTGATGTTTATATTAGTGTTGTTTTTAATGTTGTTTATATTGTTATTGTGTATTTCATTTATAAGGCCTACACTTAAATAACAATTGAATGTGTTTTAAGTGTCCCATTTTGCCAATAAAGGTGTCCTAGTTTGACAGTAGAGCCTTGAAAATTGTGTGTTTAAGGAAGAGTCATTCATCCTGTGTTTAATGTTTCTTTCTTTTCTATTGTGTATAGTATAGTAGAGCTATACTAAGCTATTTAGAATAGTATCTATTAAGCTATTTAGAAAAGTATCATATGAGTGGGTAAGACATTTGGATCATAATAAAAAAGTATGCAGAATATAAATGATCAGAAAGTGTCCCACTTTACCAGTATTCATCCCATCTATACATGAAGTTATTAAGTTTCATAATATGAAGTGTATTACTGAATATAAAATATTATTACATATTAGTAACTATATTGTTACATATTTTCAATAGGTCTATGAAAAGAGGCGATTCCTGAAGTATTATTCAATACAGGCCTATTATTAACACAATATATTATTCTGTGCATATATTCAAACTGTCAAACCATAAATATTGACCATTCATATATAGGAAATATATTTTCATTCCGTAAGGGAAGCTCTTTGTTTTGGTTCAGGGGAAACTTTAAGGGTTTGTCTGTGACTGTCTGATGACGGTAAACATGATTTCACCAAGTACCACATGTTACTGGATCAGATTTGAGGTACAGGTTTACAGTTTTTGTCAAGTTTAGGCTTAGAACCAGGGTGAATTAAGTCATTAACCTCTTATGATTTTATGGAAAAGTCATGGGTAGGGTTAGGTTTAGGGGTAGGGATTGGGTAAGGACTAGGCTACATTTTGGGACAGGAATGTTGATCCAGGATCAACAAAATATGTCTGAGTGGGACCATGACCATGTGATGTCTGAGTGAGCAGGGTGCGCAGGTATACAGTATGGACATATAGACTAGACGTCACCTTGGGGTTCTAAGCATGCGTCAAAACCGCCACCATCTTGGAACAGGGGTGTTGTCATAGAAATTATCGAATTAATTGACATTCTTTTAGTTGTCATTCGAATTAATTGATGGTGGCGGACTTGTGCTGTGTATGATGTTTTAAAAAATGTGTATGATGTTTTTTATTTTATTTTTTCTGGAATCAATGATAAATACATGTAGGACCATTGGAACGAACCAAAACAACAAGAAAATCGCATTCATGATGATTTATGGTCATTTTATTTCCGTTAGACCTTTGCATTGACGCTGATGCATTAATGTGGAGGCCTGTTCCAAGATGGCGGCTCTTCAAGGCGACATCTAGTGTATATACCTATGGGGTGCGGGGAGGTATGAAAATACATAGGCCTATCGGTATGTTGATTTGTTGATACCGAAAGCAATGATTGAATTAACGTTAACATTTTTTTGGTCCTGACCTGAGACTTCAACATTTCTAATTTTAGACTTTTGATTGCTATCAGGGTATGATGAGAGTTTCAAACAGTAACGTTAATAACAAAAAGTGTTTATGAAAAACATTGCATAATCTACATTTGAATACAGCACTCATAGCGTGATAAAGATTTTTTCTCTCTCGTTTCTACCGTTCTACAGTCTATGGTTTCGACGCCTCACACTCCTGTCCAGATGGAGGCGGTAATGCACGAATATCTGGTTTGTCCACCGTCAAACAACAAGCGCTAAACGAAGAAAAAGAAGAAGATTTACAGCGAGCTGGTCGGGTTGAAGTTAACAAATTAATTGCGAATTCTTCATTTTATTTGCAGCAACAATGACTGAGGATAGAGTTGAACGATCAGATGGACGGATAGTAAAGATGGAGGTTGACTACAGTGCAACTGTGGATCAGCGTCTGCCTGAGTGTGAGAAAATGGCCAGAGTAAGTGTGAATGAGCGGCTGAGTCATGCTGCGTGCTAAAGCTAACGTTCATCAAATAATTTTCAGGGTTAAACTATGTGTTTGGTTTAGTTAATATAAACCACTATATCCGTTTAATGAAAAACGATTGTTTGCATGCAGATGTAAACCTACCAGGAAATTGCTGTCAAAATAGGTGTCTGATTAGGTTTTTAGCCAAAGATACTTAATTAACTGATCATGCCTAATATTTCACCTTTCATCGACAATTAGTGCTGGATGCACAATGATATGAGCTTTAGCAAAACAACATGCCATGAAGAAACCTTAACATAATTTGTTTTTGTTTTTAAGGATGGCCGACTACAAGAGGCCGTCGAGAGTCTGCTGTCACTAGAGAAGCAAACAAGAACTGTAAGTGTTTTACTGTGCTTGTAGCTTCACTATTCTTATCTTAACTCTAAAATGCATTGCTTTTTGTTTGCATTTGTGCTACCTCTGTCCAGGCTTCAGATATGGTGTCCACCTCCAGGATCTTGGTGGCTATAGTTCAGATGTGCTATGAAGCCAAAGACTGGGATGCTTTGAACGAAAACATCATGCTACTGTCTAAGAGAAGAAGCCAGTTGAAGCAGGTAGGAAAACTTCTATAAACATGGAGCCAGTGATTGAGGTCAAGATGCCAAATAAAAATGTGTTTTTCAACAACCTGGACTATAATATATATTGATTTCCAATATGTGTATTCTAAATAACTTGTTAGAAGACGTTTTACCATTGGTTTCCCAGAAATAATTCCCAGTTTAAATTCTCATAACTTTCCTTTACAGGCTGTTGCAAAGATGGTACAGGAATGTTATACATATGTCGATGC